TGCACAGGGGGCCCGTTTCTGGTGACACTGGGAACAAAGCTTTCAGTGATGGTCTCACCCACAGAGTGCAATGCAACACACATGACTGCTCCGTCTTCTGTGATTGTGGAAGTAATTATACTCTTCATGGAACACAATAATCTGCAATATTTCTCAGAGGAAAAAGGAATACGCTCTGCCTTTCTCGGTTCAATTTCCAGAGCAAAATCCAACAGTTTTACTGTTCTCCAGGAAAAACAAAACAAAAAACAAAACATGCTGACAACTCAGATGAGCAGAAAACTGCTATGGGTCTTGGTGATACATTTATTTGTAATTTCCCTCTCGCTGGTCTTTTGTATAGATACGATGTATTTTAAAAGCTGGTATTCAACCTACTATCATTGTTTATCGTGTCGTGCGTTCGATGATCACTCATTGGCGGTGTACTGAGTGCCTTGGTTTGGATATGCTATAATCAATGCAACAAAATTGGAGTTTTCATGTGCCGTGAGACTTGATGGTTAGGCCCTACTGGAATACAGGCTGTGCCAAGGTTTACTCACGTCTAATCTCAAAGTGACTACAGCTAAGTATCAAGCAAAGGAAGACAGCCGCCAACACGTCTCGGTTCCTTATTAAGAGGACTAAGCACTTTATTGTTTCACTAAACCTCCAGAAGAATTCTAAATAGGTGTGATTGTTCCCATTTTGTATATGAGAACATTAGGTGCCCTAGAAGTTCACGTGATTTGCTTCAGCCAGAAATTCGAACCCAAGGCTTTCGTTTTACTTCGGAGCCTGTGTGCTCAGTTACATGCTGTGTGCTCCCCACCACGAAAAGGGGGAAGAACAGAACACAAGAGGGGTGTGAAGGAACCAAGAAAGATGGGCTGCCTTCCTCTGAGGGCGGAGGTGACAAAGGGTAGAGACATCGCTGACGTCTGCTTAGTGTTTGGGTGGCTTGAAGCCACCGTCTTAATGAAAGTGACAAAGAGACGCTGGGAGGAGCGCAGCTATTTGAAAGGGACCCCCTTCCAGGACGCTGGCCAGGACAGAGAGGGTCGCGGTGTCCTCACGCACAGCGCTGTTAGTCACCCATTCCGGCCAGGGCAGAGGGTCGCGGTGTCCTCACGCACAGCGCTGTTAGTCACCCATTCTGGCAAGCTGGTCCACAGGGAGGGTGGAGGGAACAATGGACGATGTGGTGACAGCAGAACTCACTGCAGCCTGGAGCAGCCTGTGACCCAGCGTCCGGATGGCCCCACACCCCGAGGGAGCAGCCTGTGACCCAGCATCCAGATGACCCCCACACCCCGAGGGAGCAGCCTGTGACCCAGCATCCGGATGACCCCACACCCTGAGGGCATGCATTTCCGTCCTGGTGTGACATGGCCTGATTCTGTGATTGACTTCGTTATCTGAAGTTTGCTGAGACGGAAATGTATGAATTTGAAAGAATATATGCACCCCTGTGTTCATGGCAGCATTATTTACAACAGCCAAGATTTGGAAGCAACCCAAGTGCCCATCAGTAGACAAAGAGATAAAAAAGCTGTGGTACATTTACACAATAAAATATTACTCTGCCATAAAAAGGAAGAAAAGTTTACTCTTTGTGACAGCATGGATGAACCTGGAGAATATTATGCTAAGTGAAATAAGCCAGTCAGAGAAAGACATATAATTTGACTTATATGTGGAATCTAATAAACACAATAAACTAACAAAAAATATAAAGACTCATAGATACAGAGAACAGACTGATAGCTGTCAGAAGGGAGGGGGTAGGAGGGCTGGGTGAAAAAGGAAGGGATTAAGCAAAAAATCAAATAATTCATACCAGAGAGAAAGGGGGGTGGATGGGTGGAGGTGGAAGATAAAGGAGGATAAATACATAAACAAACAAGCAAAGAAAAGAAACAATTGGAAGTTTTCCCATTAAGTAGCAAAATAACTGGAAACATGCTTTCAAGGTCAAGTTCTCCTTGCCTTATGGGCAAAGGGGTCCTTTAGATAAGGGAGAAAAACAAACTTCACAGGAAGTCACTGGCAGGTGAAATATGCTCTTCTAGTAACTTGTTAAAAAAGAAACGTAATTAGTTGGAAAACCTGGAAACACTTATTGGTGTCTGTCTGCCTGTGTAAGGAAACACTGGATGGTCTTTGTGGGTTGTGAACAGAGAAAGAGGTAAGTGCGTGCTCAGTATCGATGCTTAAGGAATACATAAGAGTCAAATGCCAGGATGTAAAAAGCTTACGCCCTGGCCGGTTTGGCTCAGCGGTTAGAGCGTCGGCCTGCGGTCCGGAGAGACCCGGGTTCGGTTCCCGCTAAGGGCATGTACCTCGGTTGCAGTTTGTCCCCGGCCCTGGTTGGTCGTGCGGGTGGCAGCCACTCGATGTGTCCCTTTCCCGTCGATGTTTCTCTCTCTCTCTCTCTTTCTCTCTCTCCCTCCCACTCTATCTGTACAAAAAATGGAAAAATGTCCTCAGGTGAGGATGAAAAAAAAAAAAAAAGCTTAGGCCCAAACGGTCTATATTTGAGTTTTATAATGACTAGGAATCATTTATTCACAACCAGGAGACAGGCAAGGGTTGACGTTGGCTTCATTGCCATTCCGTTGAAAGTGAACAGTTTCCTAGATTATAGAAAGGGCTTATTTGCATAGATATGTTGAAACTACACACATACGTAAGAAACGCATGTTTAATGCCTTTTTTAAAACTGAAAAATGTATTCGTTTCCTGGAGCTGATATAACAAATCACCACAAACCTGGCGGCTTAAAAGGACAGGTATTTATTTCCTCGGATTTCTGGAGGCTGGAAGTCCAAAGTGAAGACGTCAGCACGGCCAGGTGACGGCTGCACGGGACTCTTCTCGCCTCTCCTTGCTTCGAGGTTGCGGACAGCCCTTGGCATTCCCTCGGCTTGTAGACGCATCTCTCCAACCTCCGCCTTGGTTATCACATGACCGTCTCTGTGCGCTCTGTCTCTGTCTCTGTCTCCCTCTCGTTACTAAGGATGTGTCATCATATCGGGGCTGACCCTAATCTGGTACGACCTTCATCTTAACTTGACCATGTCTACAGAGACCTTATCTCCACACGATCAGTCAGGTTCGCAGGTCGGGGCGCTGAGACTCGGGCACAGTTCTGCGGTCCGGGTCTCAGACTTTCTCCGGTCCTCTTCTGTGCATCTCCCTTCCCGTTAGCGTCCGCTCTCAGGAACTCTGAAGGCAGGTCTCTCATCTTTCCCCAGTTTTTTCAAAGCAAAAACAAAGAATCAGAGAAGTCACAGACCAAGGGCAACGTATTACCGTTCCGAGCCCAGAGTCCGTTGGAAGTGCGGTGACCAGAGCAGTCATTTCCGTGGGAACTAGCACCGAGGTGACCTAGTCCCAGCAGCCGCGGGGCCCTGCGCTTGGGGAAGGAGCCCCCAGGACTGGGACGGCACAGCGGAGGCAGCGCTGGGCACTCTGCTGCCGTCTCTGCAGGGCGTGACGTGGCCAGCTCCAGGTGTGGGGCAGGCAGGAAACCAGAATCCCTTGCCACTACTGTCTTCGGCACCCCTTTAGTGAGTGCATCCCCTTTTTGTCAGAACCAAACTGGAGCCAGCTGGCAAGGGGAGAAGTGGGGCAAGAGCCCGGGCCGTAGCGCCACAGAGCGGAGTGGCAGGTGGGCTGGAGCTGAGGCCCGTGGCGCCCGGAGCAGCGGGGGCACGTTTGCGGAGCCAAGAGGTGAGTCAACACGGGACGCTGGTGGGACGGGGGACAGAGGGGGTCAGGGACGCTGGTGGGACGGGGGACAGAGGGGGTCAGGGATGCTGGTGGGACGGGGACACAGGAGGTCAGGGACGCTGGTGGGACGGGGACACAGGAGGTCAGGGATGCTGGTGGGACGGGGACACAGGAGGTCAGGGATGCTGGTGGGACGGGGACACAGGAGGTCAGGGACGCTGGTGGGACGGGGACACAGGATGTTAATGAAACTCCCAGAAAGGGCAGAGGAAGTGGCCGAGGGAAGACAGGTCTCTTCGGGACCAGGAGTGGAGTAGAGGGAAGGAATGAATGGGAGCTCACTCACCAGCACTGGACTCTCACTCCTGAACGGAGGGTTTGAACTTGATAAGGTGCATGGGGCAAACCCTACCTTCTAATCGAGAAGGAGCTCAGCAGACCCAGGCGGGGATTTCCCCAGGACCCGGGGCAGCTGCGAACATTGTGTCGCATTGCAATTCCACCAGCAGGGAGCAAGTGCTGCTGTTACTGCCCATTGCGCACACCCGGGAGTCAGAAGATGAGTGTAAACCCACGCACACCAGTGGCGCAGGACTGCTGGGCACAGACCACACCCTGTGCCAGGTTCCTCAGCCTTGGTTGTGACTATGTTTTATCACCCCTCGAAGGGACTTTTCAGCACCTTTTCCTCATTGTTTCTCTTCCCATAAAATGTTAACGCCATAGATATACTGTCCATCTGTCTATACACCGCAGCCCTGTGGAGGGCCGCAAACCATTGTAATTTCTACGACTCTCCCTTCTCACACCCTCCAAAAGCTAATTCGGCCCTGGAGGGGCCCGGCTAGAATTCCTGCTGTGGGGGAGGGTGTCGGCACCCACCCAAGCACCTGCGGGCGCTTCACCTGTCCTGGGGCTGCTGTGAGAATTGCCCTCGGACCCGGTGGCATTCCCATCCCCCCACCCCCCCAGCCCCCCCAGCCAGCAGCCAGGGCCCGTGGGGCACAGGGGGCTGCCCCTCCCTTTCCGGAGCGCATCTGGGCTCTGTCTGCCCAACCAGAACCCGCGCCTCGGGCTGAAGCCCATGGGCTCCCTTCGCAGAAAGCCTGGGCGGGGGTTCAGTCCGAGGCTGCGCAGTGCCGGGGGGCGGGGGGGGGGGCAGCCCGCCAGGAACCCTCTCTCCGACGGCTACAGTCAGGGGCCCAGGATGGAAAGCTCGCTCTCCAGGCCCCAGAGCCCGGCCATCTAGGGGTGACTGGGTGGCCGCCAGCCGTGTGCAGAAGTTCCCTCCGCAGATCCTGGCGCTCAGGAGCGGACGGAGGGAGAGCGCAGAGATGGCGCAGAGGAAAAGGTAAGAACGAAAAAGAGGGGAAAAGCCTAGTATGAAAAACAAAGACAGCTGGAGCAGGCGGAGGAGAGGGTCGGGTGCCCCTCGTGTGTCAACGAGAGGCCTGCGCTCAGCTGAAGCTTGAAGACTGGGAAGTGAGCCCCAGTCCCTCCGGTTCGGGGCCTCTGCCCTGGGCTCTGGGCAGGCGAGTCTGCAGGGCAAACCCCCTGAGAGCGGCGTGGGTCTCCTGGACATGAGCTCCACCGGTTTTCAAAGTTTTAGGGACTCCTCTCGCAGGTGCAGGTCTTAAAAGTGGGGGAGCCAACGTGGGTTTCAAACGCTTCGGTTCTCAGGGAGAAGCTCCTGGTTTTGTTTCCTCTTGACTGGCTCACTGCTCGGGGTGGGATTTATGGCGAGAACGTGTCCGCCCTCCCACCCACTTTGATGTGACCCTTCTGTCATTCACCCTACATTTGGACCAGACAGATTTTAGCTCTTTTTCAGAGGAATCGGTTCCATATTTAGTTGCAGATTCAGCGCGTCTGTGGGAAGAGGAGCCCAGCATAGTCCTATGTCACCATCTCGAGCCCCAAGACTCTCCATCTTAAAGGACGAATACAAGGTGGGTGAGTAAGGGGGCATCAGGGAAGCAGGTTTGCTTGTGGGCATCAGAACGAGCAAAGATGAGGACGGTTTGGATCTTCAAGTTAAACCACAGAACCTACCTGCATGTCCGCATGACCAACGGACACACAACAGTGCTAAGGGGGTGGACAGGAGGGTGTCTAGGCAGGAAAAGGAGAAACATCTGTAACAGAAATAAATTAATAAAAGCTGGAGGAAACAAGAGTAAATTGAAACGGGCTCATGAGTCGCTCTTGCAGAGACTGGCTGGCCTGTCTGCTGCAGGAAGGGTCGGTCACTGGGGAGTGTCCTGAAGAAAACCAAGCGATTCGATTGAACCTCAGAGAGTGACTTCCCGAGAGCCGCGTGCTCGCTGGAGAACTTGGAGCGAGGGCAGGGAGACCCCAGAGGCAGCACTTCAGTAGACGGGAAGGTCGGACAGACACAGAGTAACCCAAGGGCAACAGACAGAGGACAGTAACCAAATGTAAGCGTGTGGCTCTGTGCTGGCCCTGGACTGAGAAAGGAGCGACCGATGCAGCCAGCTGACGATGCAGATCCTGAGTGACAAAGCAGGGCAAGACAGAGAACACACAGGGTTTGGCATCTAATGGCATTTACAACTATAGATTACATTACTCAGAGTGGACTCTGGGGTGTACTGGCACTGGCGGTCGATGTAAGGGAGAGAGCTAGCTATCTAGTCAGCCTCTTCAAGAGTTGTCTATCTTCAGAGATCTGGCACTTCCAGAAAAAGCCAGCCCAGAATTTGTCAGAGGCTCTGCTTTTGAACAAATGAGCTTCCTGTTGAGTTTCATTCCCTTCCTCCTTGGCAGAAAAAGCAAACTGTAGTTTTTCGATGAAGAGCGAGCCGGTGAGGAAAGTTCATTGAGGATTCCTGTGGTTAATGACCCGGAGCATCGGAGGAATGCATCCAGTAACATGTAGCACAGGCTAACCGGTGGGAAGAAGAATAAGCAAAGGATAATGAATCAAAGAGAAGGGACTAGAGACATCTAGAAAGGATGGGGCGAAAGGAGCATAACATTAAAGAGATAGAAGGTGATTCACCATCATGCAGGTTCTACAGTTCTTGCTGATTCTTTTGTGCTATTTCTGCCCCCTCCCCCCATACTCAATGCAACTGGCCCTGTTTGGATCATATTGTCACTGACCTGGACTATTGCAAGACTCCCGGTTTGGTTCTCTGCTTTATGCTTTGCCACTGGCAAGCTTACCCCAGTTCATTTCCCACTCTGCTGCCAGTGATCTTTCTAAATTATCCATCCATTCCTTCCACAAACGAATCTGTGAAACACCTACTCTGAGCTAGGTGCTCCAGCAGGTGCTGATTAGTCAAGGATCAGCTGAGCAGACATGGCCTCCGCCTTCAGGGAGCTGAGAGTCCTTAATGGGCAGCTGCTGACAATGGTGAGGGCTTTGAAAGCAAAGTGTGAGGACGGGGAGAGCACCGCGCAGGGTCATGGTGTAGTTGGGAGCAGGAGAGGGGCAGGGTTCGAAAAGGATCCTTGAGAGAGTGATGTCTGCGGGTCACGTTAGAGATTCTGGTTACTGGCTAACAGCAGCGGGAAGCTGGCCAGGGCAAGTTGTTGCCAAGAGGAGGTCTGAGTTTGGTGAAGACCTTTCTGGCAGCGTAATGGAGACAAGTCTGAAGGGTGCTAATTGAATTTCTTCCTTCTCTCCTTTCAAAGGATCCCCCCAGGTTAGTTTATACTTCTGGATTCCAATCAGAATTACCCGGAGGCATGTTAAAAATTCAGAGTCCCAGGCTTCATCCCTGGGGATCTTGTTTTATTAGTTTTAGGGTGTGACTTGGAAATTAACATTTCTGTACAGTACCCCATGTTGACTGTCCAAGTAGAACTTGTGATAATGGAACATTTCTCTATCTGTACTGTCCAATATCCATAGCCCCGTGCAACTAGTGAGCACTTTAAATACGTCTTGTGCAACCAAGAAACTAAATTTTAATGACAGTTAATTTAAATGAATTAAATTTACATACCCACCTTTGGTGGGTGGTGAACTGGACAGTTCAGGTCTAGACTCTAGTCTGAGACACGTCCCATATGATGGCTTCTAATTCCCTGCTCAGGGTCTAGGCACAAGCTCCTCACATCAGGAGCCTGCTCCCCTAGTCACCACCTTCTCCCCACACGGTCACAAAGTCCATGGCTCTGTCCTCTAAGAGCAACCCCTTCAGGTCTGAATTAGATTATGACTCCTTCAATAGCAGAGACTGTCTATCCGCAACACCTCGAGGGCTGCCGGGATACAGCAATCTCTGTACATGCTTTTTGTATAAATAAATAAATGAGAAGTAAAGAGACAGCTACAGGCTGTGGGATCACTTAACTGAGTCAGGCAATAGGTAGATACTAATAATTCATAGATTTTTGTACAGTTTTGCTCTATGGAATTCCACAAGGCTGAACTCCGGAGAACTAAACTGTTGATGACCTTCGGTTGCTGACATAGTCAGTGTCCTGTCCCCAGTCTCTTTGCGGATCAGTCAGCTCTGCAATCTTCCAGTGGTAGCACGGTTTTGGGGGAAAAATTTTTGGAGCCAGATTATCTGGATGAAAACTTTGGCTCTGCCACTTGCTAGCTGTGTGATCTCAGAGCAAATGTTAACTTAACATTTCTTTTACTCAGTTCCATCATTTACAAAATGGGTTAACCATAGTATCTACATGTCAGTGTTGTTAATCAATTAATATCTGTAAAGGGCTTAGGACAATGTCTGGTGCATATTAAAGAATTAATTATTTGTTAAATAAGTTAAATGCAATTTTGGCCATTGGCTCCATTACATTTCTAGTTAGTGACCTTGTATACTGGTCAAAAGGGAAATTAGGAGAAAATCATAAGCAAGTAAATATACATTATTCATATTTGACCCCTGCCTTCCAGGCCCCACCCGGATGAAGGGGTGGCGTAGGACTGTGGACACCCAGACAAGCTCATGGCAAGCGCACTGCTCTATCCAAGGATCACCACCTGGACTGGAGAGAGTGAAGACGGGTGAGATGGAGCTCCGGGAAGGTAAAAAGGAAACAGCCACAGTTTAAACGAAATCTGGTGATTTTGATGTCAGAGGCAAACCTGGGAAGAGCTCATCCCCCTGTTCGAGCTCAGCCTGAAGTGGATTTCGGAAACAGAATTTGAGCTCCCTCCTCTCCTTTCTCAAAGAGCGAATATGGGCCAGTTGGTGTCTTCTTGTCTTAAATGATGACCCTCTGCTCGTGGCACCTTTCTTTGTCTTCTGGGGAGCAGCCTCTGCAGGCTCCGTTGGTGGGAGGGAGTCACGGGGCCCCGTCCACGTTAGGGGACAGATGGGTAGACGTGCATTCAGCACAGGCTAAGGAGCCACTGTCCTGGAGGACTGTGAATTTTGAGGGGACTGACACTGGACTGGACATGCCAGGCCAGCCACTCATTACTTTGACACCTGCACCCCAGGAGTTCCTCCTGCCTGAGCCTCCAGGACTCCTGACTTGGTTCTCTGGAATTCTGGCCTATTCAGAATTTCAGCTACTAGAAATACCTCCAGCAAATTCCATGTTCTGTTCACATTGGCAAAAGTTAGTTTCTGGTGTAAAGAATCCAAACTGGTGTGACTCCATATTTACTTAAGGCATAGTCTAAGAAATAAATGGTGAGCTTGGACATTTCCCCTCAACTCACTCTGCTTTTGAGCACTCTTTTTCTTGTTGTTTTGTTTTCTTAAATGCATACTTAATGTTTATTAAACTTGGATATTTTCTTTTAAACAATGAGTTTCATTTTTAGGAGGCTTTACAAATGGCCAAGCCTGACAAAATACGTAGTTTCATGATCAATTAGAGGAAAGTAAAGCAAAGCAGTGAGATAGTATCTTTCACCCGTCATGTGAGAGAAACTGAAGGTTCAGAATCATTGCTGGCAATAGAAATAAAGCCAGTGTTGTAAGAGGGCATGTTTGGCAGAGCTAGGAATCTGACAGACAGAAATGTACTTGAGCAGCAGCATTTAGAAATAAGCTAAATGGTCAGCCTGCAGTCCAGAGAGACCTGGGTTCAGTTCCTGCAAAGGGCACGTACCTCGGTTGCAGTTTGTCCCCGGCCCTGGTTGGGTCGTGCGTGCAGGAGGTGGACACTCAATGTGTCCCTTTCACATCAATATTTCTCTCTCTCTCTCTCTCTCTTCCTCTCTCTCCTTCCCACTCTCTCTGAACAAAAAAACGGAAAAATGTCCTCGGATGAGGATTAAAAAAAAAAAAAGAAATAAGCTAAATGTCCAACTACATCAAGCATGGAAGCATGGATGTACCATGCACAGTAGTGAATACACTTTTTGTTAACTCTGAAGTGGACAGGAAATTTCAAGCATGCAATATTGGGACTTATTCAGGTGAAGAGGAAACGCTAGACGTTTAGAAATATCGAGTAGGGAACAATGGACTAAGACAGGAAAGTTATGTTCAAAAGTCCATCTCTAGAACAAGGGTCAGCAAACTTCTTGTGAAAAGGCCAGATAGTAAATAATTTAAGCTTTGAGGGCCATCCAGTCTTTGTCAAAACGCTTCTACTCTGCCGTAATAGCACAAACGTGGCTATAGTCAATGTGTAAGCATGGCTCTGGGCCAATAAAACTTTATTTATAAATACAGGCAGCAGACAGGATTTGGCTTATGGTGGGGAAAATGTTTGATTCCCAAACCCAATTCCTAGACTTGCTAGAAATAGCTTACTTTAAGGGAAAGAAAAGGAGTCACTATCTGTTAAAGGACTGAGGTTGTGGTTTTCAAGCTATGTTCTTTGTAGCAGGACACAGAAGTACCTGAGGTGTTTGTTAATAGATGTGGATTATCGGGCTCCTTCTGGACCTTTGGAACATGAACCTCTGAATTCGCTGCTACTTTAATCAAGTTCCTAGAGTGATTCTTATGCAAATTAAGTTTAAGAACCACTGGCTTAGTCAATATTAAGTTTTAAAAATTATGTAATCTTCACAACAGCCTTATGCAATATAAACTATTAACCCCGATTTACTTACAGAGGCAAATAGAATTTCCCAGAGTCACAGACAGTAAAAGAAAGTGAGGTTTTAGGTCCACATCTGTTGCATCAAAGCCTGCACTTGCCCACATGCTGTGGGCAACAGCAGTGAAACAGAAAAGTATGGATTCCGTTGTTCTAGTACTTACCTAATTGTCACCGTCTGTGAACAGCTCTAAAATACTATTGAGGTTCAAGTTGAAAACGAAATATCTAAAGATCAAATATTTTTTTTTATTGTTGAAAGTATTACAGATGTTCCCCTTTTTTCCCTATCGACCCCCTCCTTCCGGCTCCCACCCCTCTCCTGCCTTCCCCAGCCTAGTGACCATATCAATTGGTTGTGTGTACATGCAGAGAAGTTCTTTGCTTTATCTCTTCCCTCCCTTCTCACCCCTATTCCTCTGAGGTTTGTCAGTCTGTTCCCTGCTTCCATGATTCTGGATCTTCTATGGTCGACAGTGCATTTTGTTCATTATTTTCCACAAATAAGTGAGATCGTGTGGTACTTGTCTTTCTCTGTCTGGCTTATTTCGCTTAGCATAATACTCTCCAGGTCCCTCCATGTCATCTCAAAGGGTAGCAAATCCTCAAACAACAAAAGCAGGTGAGGACGTGGAGAAAAGGGGACTTTAGCACACTGCTGGTTGGAATGCAGACTGGTGCAGCCACCATAGAAAATGGTATGGTGCTTCGTCAAAAAGTTAAAAGTGGAACTGCCATTTGACCCAGTGATCCCACTTCTAGGAATATACCCTAGGAAGCCTGAAACCCCAATCAGAAAGAATATATGTACCCCCATGTTCATAGCAGCACTATTTACAATAGCTAAGATCTGGAAACAGCCCAAGTGCCCATCAGTAGATGAGTGGATAAAAAAAGCTGTGCTACATGTACACAGTGGAGTGCTATGCAGGTGTAAGAAAGAGAGATCTCTTACCTTTTGAAGATCAAATATTTTGCATGGAGATGTAAGCACTACTTACATCTCTACTACTGCATAAGTGAGGGAGAAGCAGCCACGTGACCCTGCTGTGCTCCCTGGGATCGGTGGTGGCTTTGGAAAAAAGAGGAGCTTCTCTGAAATACGTCCTATTTTTCTTTTCAAAGACCTACACAAAAGATGTACTAAGGATATTTTTTCTGAGTTTTTTGCTAGAATCAATTTGATGCCAGCTCTTTTTGCTTTGTAAATTAATAAACTAAAATTTATTCAAAAGTGAATGAGATCCAAATCGCCCCTTCTCTAGTCATGTTGCCTCTTACTGAAACATACTCAGTGCAACTATGTAGGCTGTTTCATTATTTCAGAGAACTGTGTGTATTCTATAGACTATGTTTCAATTCTAATGAGGCCTCCTTAACTGCCAATTGCTCTACTTGCTCTCTCCTTGGTCCAGGCCACCCCTTGACCAGCGAGACCCTAGGCGTGTCTATGTTTGTCTCTCCCTTCAATGGGGAGGTCCAAGACGGGGCTTGGTGAGATCCTTGAGCTGCGTATGCTTTCGATTTCCAGGGGAACAGTGATCTACATTAACTCTGCAGGAAAAAATTGCATGTTCTGAACTTATTAAAAGTCCATTCAAATCAAAAGCATGACACATTGTCAATAAGAAATGTTAAAAATAGTTTTGACTATATACAAATTTGGGTTTATGAGATACTCTTTCAAAGGTCACCTTCCCGTGCAATGTGACTTCACTCTTCTGAGATGTAGGCTATATGCTGAATTGCAGCATAATTAAGCTCCCTTGTGTAGTTTTTGGGTTAAGGGCACAATCAGCACTTTATAAACTGTGTGTGAATATTTCACCACAAATTTAAAACATCATAGCCTGACTTTTCCTCAACATGCTCCCCAGTCCTCATAACCCTGCTGGCAGAGGCTGTGTGCCCACTTAATACCAGTCCAGGCAAAGCATAGATGGAAAAAAATCATGTCTATTACAAAAAAAAATTACCCTTTATTATATGTCCTGTGCATTAGCTCCGCTGAGGCTCGGCTCCTTGCAGCATGGGACTCTGAGAAAGGACTAGACAGCAAATTACAGTGTTTCCAGAGGACAACTTCATGAGCCACAAAGAAGCTGCCCTAAATGCCTGCCCAGGGCAGGGAAGAATGCCTTCCTCCAGAGCCCAGCCAGAAGGCTGCACCTGCCAGGCGATAGTGCAGAACCAAGAACAGGTGATCCCAGGGCTGTCCTGACTCCCCCACCCCGCAGGGAGCCTGATGTGCAGGACAGAATGGGAGGAAAGGCTGAGAACCTCAGTACTGAATAAAACCTGCCCATCCAAAGATACTGCAGGGTCACTACCCCGCTGGTAAATGTCCTCCGAAGGAAGTAAGAAATGTCACAGCACCTTTCTTGACGGAACGCACAAAAGAACCACCAGAATTATAGGAGAGAGAACAAGCTGAAAACAAGCCTTGAGACCCTTTTGAACTCTTATCCTCAAGGAAACAGGTCCTCTGTCGTACGACATCCAACATCATTCCCTATATCGAGCAGGTGGCTCATGCCGGGTAGGGGCAGTGGGAAGGAGAGTTGGTCTTTGAACTCCATTAGAAACAAAATAAGCCAGATCATAACAGGGGTCTGGGAACAACAGACCTCGGCTAAGAGAGAGAGGAATGTGGACACTTTTCAGCAGTAGGAAGGCAAGCACTGCATCAGTGATGATTTGTAAGAAATAATGAGATTTGGCATGACTGGGTACCGTGCCATCTATACTGGGATTTGGGCCAGGACTTCAGATTCCAGCAGAATCTTGGGAAGACAGGTAAAAACCTTAGTGCCAAAGGAGCCAAGGTAGGAATCAGACACAAGGAAATAACAGGAGAATGTTTCCGAGGGCAGGAAGAATAGCCTCGTCACGCTTGGGCCATTTTCTGGCTCGGTGCCTGGGGCGTAGGGCGTGCATTTGGACACTGATCACTTGCCTCCCTCCTTGCACATTCGCTCCCTCTGTTTCCTGTGGCATTTCCCTTATTGGTGTTTAACTTCTGTGGCCACACCTTTTTAATCTCCTTCGAAGGGTTTCTTC